CTTTTGGCGAATTCCTCCCCCATCATCCGTACCTTGTCCCGGTTATCTTGCCACCTCTGCATTTTGCACGACGACTCTACGCCCCTTGCCCCACGGTGTGTCGCGGGTAAAACTTTGTATAAGGTCCAACACAATAATCTCGTCTGTACAAGCACATTCCTGTGCATGGGTCTGTATGAAGGTTCATTACCTGTTCAGCTGGTTTTTGGCATCCAACAAATGCAGAATGGAGTTCAAGTTTTACCTACTCATGCGATGCTGTATCTATGAGAAGCTCTTAAAACATAAAAACCCCAGCAAACCTTAAAACCTAACGCTTTTTAACGCAAGAAAATACACTACAAATAGAAATGTACTTTAATCATCATCACCAGTCATGATCAATCCACCTCTGAAAGCCTCTCAATCCTTTGCCATCCATCATGATACCTGCTTTTTTTTACATATGATCTCTCTGCAGAATATTTAAATGGCCTTTCAGGTTTAAAAATGATACTACTCTTAACTACTGTACTCGATGTGAATGTAAGTTACTCTGTGCATTTGGAAACATTGAATATCATATCTCGGCCAAATAAACCCCCATGATCTGCATGGCTTAGGATGCCCTCGTCAAAGTAGTAGATTGACAGATAGACCTGTACACATAGGTGTGTAATAAATCATGAGATCTTAGCATAGGTTTGAGATCCCGAAGACTGGGGGTGAGCAAGCGATCCTCGGGCTAGATTTCCAGCGAGGACCACAACCCCTTTTACGTCGAGATCCGGGAAGGCACGGAACCTTCCATCCCCACCACCACCTCAGGCTCTCTAAAATGATCATGGAAGGCCTCATGGTTACGATCCAAAGTAGCATTGGGCTCGCGATCCCTCGGAATCTTCAGTGCGAGCATCGCTTAGATCCACCGAAGACATTCTCGGCTGTGACTAGATTGGAATGGCATTTTTTGTTGAGAAATTCTTCTTACTGGAATCTGGAGTTATCTTGGTCTGCCCGTATTTCCTTGTTCTGCCCGGATTTCCTTGTCCTGCAATGAATGCACCTCTGACCGGCCAATGAAAACCTTGAACGCTTTTGTCAAATGTCTTTAGTGTGCACCATTTTACCAAACGTATGCCTAAAATATACGTAAAATAGAGCACATACCTGTAAATCCCAACTACGCTCACAATATTTTGAGAATTTGGTTCAAATAATCCTTCACCAACGTCATGGTTACACTTGAAAATGTATCGTCATCATCATCAGCCATGAAATTAGATTTTTTGAGGACCTTTCCCGGCCAATGCCATCATTCATCGTCTTGAAATTTCATGATTGATCTTACTCCTGAATACTGATCAATTGATGGGTATTTATTAATTCATTGCAGAATATGAAAGTGCATGAGAACCACTTTTTTTTGTATATTGTGTATACAGTATATTCACATGAGACCCTCCAACCATTTGTAGCTGCCATATTCATCACAAAAATACGATTATTAAATCGAATGGCAGTCTTGAGTCGTGATAATCAATAAACATAGATTCAAAAAAATACATCTTAGAAAAACACACCAAGATGCTTAATTCTATGCATCTCAATGTACTGTATTGTTAATTACAGCTTGTCATAGAATGCAGTTATCACTAGGCGTATTTAAACAGCAGTTGCTATACACAGTAACCTCTTTGTTTGGACCCTTCTGTTCTGGTTTATCTTTGGGGCAGGGAGAAGACCAATGCACTCGCCCCAGGGATCAAGGTCCATAAATCATAAATTCGATCCAACCCAGGTGTCGATGTTGTGTTACAAGTCAGGTACATAGGCACACAATGGCATTTGATTCAGGGCAACAGTGAAGTTTAACCTTACTTGAGAGATATAATTGTTTCTATGCTTGGAATTCATAACTGCCGGAATCTTCTTGGTTCTTTCGGTAAAGTCACGTAGCAAGGAAAACATTAAAATAATTAAAATAAAACATAGTAAAGTCATTCTCACGACGTTTCGGCCACAACGCAAGCAGCCGTCCTCAGGTGAAGAACAGGTCTGTCGGAAAGACCTGTTCTGTCGGAAAGACCTGTTCTACACCTGAGGACGGCTGCTTGCGTTGTGGCCGAAACTTCGTGAGAATTATTTTATTATGTTTCATTTTTATTATTTTATTATTTCCCTTCTACGTGACTTTACCGAACCAAGAAGATGAATCCCTGCAGTCACAAGACAACTTAGATTAAGGCCATCGGTCTTATTTCGTACTACAACAAACAAACATGGCCAAACCAGTAAACTTTTCGTAATCACCAAAATAAAGCAATGAAACAGTGATCATAGGAACTGTGACGGAATTTTCACAATAAACGACAAACAACATGTACTACCAAAACCCTGCAGCCATAGCTGGCTGCGTGAGTTCACTCCACAACAGCAGGAGCATCAATCAGAGTATTAGAAGTCAGTGATCGTTAGTGAAGGGGAGTCCAGTACATCACTCGCCACTGATGCTCGTTGTAGCCGTGAATCGAATGTAGGTTGCCAGGTTCAGAGCGCAGCGTGTTAACACTTGTGCAAGCAACTTTCCAGTGCTCTCTGAGTGAAGGTAAATGTTTGGCTTCAGTGTTGCAATCGTGATGACTGTTGAAGTGACGTGGTGGTTGAAGCATATTGGCACGTGAGAGAGGGCTGCGTCACACAGTCTGGCACACAAATACATTTTTTTCGCTAATTGAGTACAAATTTGGACCAGCACAGAACATTGACGTGATGTTTTTAAAACAATATGGTCAATTATGATTTATTTTTTGTGTGTAAGCTTTGGTGCTTCTGGTAAAAAAAATAGGAATAAAAATAAGAGTGATTTTCGCCAAGGAAAATGCATATTTATTTTGTTCATGTTGTAAGAATATGACATGACATTTGTAAATATTTTAACCAAAATTCCACAACAGCCATACAGAGTAACCAATGTATTAGCAAATTACTTTTCACCACTTGGCAAAGATGTTAGTTTTGTGAGCTGCCTTAATTTACAATGTACATTCAACTTCCACGATTCTGCAATTAGTATTTTAATTGTGAACGTATAAACATGTTTTTCATTATCATACTTACTCTGTAGTAAAAAAAAATTTAAGAATTAGTTAAATTGTCTTAATACTGTGCTCGAGTATTTTGAGACAAATTTTGGGCGAGCATAGTAAAAAAAAACGTAATTAGAAACGATTTACATGTACAGTGATTTGAGCATAGTAAGTGATTCATATTACGTAGTATAGATTTTTGTGTTGAGCAATGAGGCTTATTTGCTTCAATACCTCTATTTGTCCATAAACACATTTTATGAAATTTGCCAAACTTTCCAAGGCAGGACCCTTCTAAAAGAATCCGTGTGCTTTATAAACATCGCTATATAAATAATGGGATCGAACGACCCGAAAATTATCACGCTTATTTTAACCCAACGTTATTTTAAATGTTAACTTTTTGCAGAAATGTTATACTATACTGTGGTGCTCTTTGAGTTTTCATGTGCTAACCTTCATCAGAAATTAATGGATTTCAAATTAATTTCCCCCCCTATATTCAACAATCTATCTTACTCATGACCAGGATATGAATGTATGGACTTTGTGGAATGAATGCATTTCATGATCCAGTGAATAATTTGTAAGTTGATGTAAGTTGTGTGTGACAAATTCCATCCAATTCTAAAAGAGATGCTCCTGTAATAAAAACTTTTCACATACAGCACAGGATATGACAAAACAAACACTGTCATTGTCTCTCCTTAACAGTGGCTGTCTATTTTTTAAACTAAAACTATTAAAATTACACATGCATTTGCATTCAATTAAGCCGAGTTATTTCTCAAATGTTTAAATGGAAATCCAGTAAGTTGGTGACTCGGCCACCCTGAATACTCTAGCTATTTTTACAATTGCTCATTTGTGTAAACTATAAATTATTTGAACTAAACATTTAATTTGTATTTTACCAGGTAAGGCCCACTGAGCTATATAGCTCTTTCAGAAGCAACCTAGTGACAAGTTGTAGCCCAATGAAGTGGTTTATCACGTGGACATTTCTAACAGCTGAATGCTCTAAACACATGATTCAAAATTTTGGGGGAAAAACCAGAGGACCCAGAGAAAAATACACACGACCACGGGGAGAACATGCAAACACCAAAATATACAGGCGTTCGGGTCTGGATCGAACCTAGAACCTCTTGTAGACGAGGCGAGGTAGTTAACATGACGTTCGACATCTCGCTCCACATGCTGGGAGCTCGAAGTTCCTGAAGAAGCTTCCAGCATGCTGTGCGAAACATCGGACATCGTGCCTGTACAACACGCGATATAGCCCGAAAGTCCATCCGAGGACTATGTGAGCACAATCTCGAAAACCTGTGCTTAAATACGTTGAGAATTTCTCCCATAAATCGGCCGGTGATAATTTGGGTGTTTCATTATTGTCGAGACTTATTACCCGCCATTGGTACATTCTCCTGTCACATCCACGAAGTATCAGGTGTGGATGAGGCGAAGAACCAACTCTTGCATAATGTATATGCTATTCTGTGCTCATGTCATGATGATGTGGGTCAAAAGCTCACACAATCATGACTCTCCACAAGATGGTGTGAAGGTGCCTCAATGCAAACTTGCCGTATACAGCCAAGTAATTTCCAGCAACAATGTGGTTGCAGTCAGTAAATATGTATTTTCTGAAATGTGATTAATTTTAATTGGCAGATTTTTGCTGCCTTTGCTTTCAAGAGAAAAAAATATATAACACAAACCTCAATGACTATTATCCGGTATTAAAATTAATGTACAAAGACTTAACACGAATGTACATGGAGAATACATGATTTGATGCGTTCGTCAATGTCGCTTGACACGCAAGAGCGGATATGTATCCGATACAAGTCTAAACGCATTGTAACCGTTATGCAGCCCCATGTCTCGAGATTGTTTAAAACGTGTGTGTTTTTTTGTCTTCTCCTGCAGATGGTACTTTGGTGATATCAAGAGAGCAGATGCCGAAAAGTATCTGTTGGCAGACGTCAATACAACTGGCGCCTTCCTCATACGGCAGAGTGAGAGCAGGAAGACCGACTACTCACTTTCAGGTACCTACTCTTAGTTCTTTTGGTAAAGTCACGTAGGTAAAAAAATGAAATAAAAATTACTAAAAAATAAAATAATAAAAATCACGACGTTTCGGAGGCCACACAAGTCTCCGTCATCAGGTGAGACCGTCACAGCCAGATTTGTTGCTTCCGAAACGTCGTGATTTTTATTATTTTATTTTTATTAATTTTAATTAAATTTTTTACCTACGTGACTGTACCGAAAGAACTAAGAGTATGAATCCTTGCAGTCACGAAAGCTTCAAATCTAGAATTTCAGGTACCTCTTCCTGTTCCTGTGTTCAAAGGCCTGCACCTGCCAGGTGCAAAGTGCCACACTTTAATTGAAATTAGTTATGAGTGTTTTTCTCCCACGTGTTTACCCTATTGTGCTAATGACGGTTACGTCACGGGGCGAAGGATCCATTTGGGCACTGGCGGAGCCAGTTGGAGGGGGTGGGGTGGGGTGGCACGTGCCCCCCCCCCCCCCCCCCCAATGATCCGATCGAAATTAGAGATTTCGATCGGATCATTGGGGTTTATTAGTAATAAATCGGTATTTTGTGACCCCACTGCCACTGTGTAGCATATTATTATGTGCCAGGGACTCTATGAGATGATATGCCAATAGTCTGAGTCCATAATTGTCAATAAGTAACGACAAAGCAGTTATAAGTGACTCAGAATTGTGCAGAGTTGCGTATACAGCACACACGACTTCCCTGAAGGCATTCACCTTCAGCGAGCGCGATGTCGATCACACAACTGCGGTTCGAATTCGACCCTCGATCGATGGCTGCGCCATCGCCGCACACGCGTCGAATAAAAAGCAAGGGACAAGTCCTTACTTACTAACAACTTCTCTATCATTTTTCCATTGCTGGAGGGGTTGCCCCCCCTCTACCTGGAAATCCTGGCTCCGCTATTGCATTTCGGTCTCTCGAAGAGCGGCAATGCAACTCTTCGTGCTACAGAACGGCCTATGGAAGTGGATGTAGTAGAACTACTCATAAAGATCCCTTGAAAGTGATCTTTGGCCCACATAGTAGCAGGCGAGTATTGTCTGCTGAGTCACAGTCGTAGAAATACTTTTTTTAAGCTGTAAATTAGCTAATCCATAAGTGAGCAAACCACACTCATGATTTTTAATTGATAAATTTTTTTCCGGTGTATTCATTGATGATTGGCTTTATAGACCATCAAATCGCGAGACTCGAAAACCACTTTTTTTTCTATAAACGCAGGCGACTGAAATCCGATTCGAACCGATGGGTGGGTGTGTCGGTGGTTGCCAACGTCGCTGATGTCCGAGTCGCCTGCCCACCTCACAAGTGCCCAGTGGCTAATCCTCCGGCAACGACCAACGGGAATGGATGAGATGTTGTGATGATCGCCGCCCGCTGCTGTTGCTCCTTCTTTTGTTTGCGTACACACCCTCGTAGAGAGCTTCCACAGTGCGGGTTTCAGGTGGCATTGATGTTTGTATTTGGTTACGTAGCAACCCTGCGTGCGGCGTGTTATAACACACACACACACTACATTCATTTAATATACATTATAGCAGCAATGGGAACAGGTTTTGGGAACAGGTTTTGAGTACTGGCACCAGTCGCGGCTTCAGAGTCGTATGTTCACGATTTGTTGTATCTTGATCATGTATTAACCACGAGCTTGTTTGCCGGAGGGAAGCTGTAATATTTACAATTGTATCTTGTGTAAATGTAATGGCAGTTAATCTTGCACAAAACTACGTAATAAAACACCTTGCTGCATGTCACTGTAGCACTGTATATAACTCATCTTCAATTAGTTGAAATTCACTGCTCTGATACTGTGTATTCTTTTCTGCTTTCAGGTCGCTGGGGTTGAAATGAATTGGAAATCGATGCAATATCTGAAAAATCACAGAGAAATGTCGATTTTACCATAATGTAGAAGCATAAATTAGACACTTTTGTCTCAAGTGCTGAAGAAATAAATAAAGACACAAAATGCACTTTGTTGCTGCGTATAATTATTTATTAGATTCACTTTCAATAAAGAAACGTGAAACTTAAAGCGAATTTGCGGAATTAATTTTATTTCCGCTCGACCTTCTGCGTGAGTGTAAAAATCCACCCGCTCATGAATATTAATGATGGGGGGGGGGGGTGCGGCATGTGGAGTGACGTCAGGTGGCATGTTGGTTGACGTCACGTGCGGGACACACAAACAGACATTTTTATCTCATTATAGTAGTAATAAGTGCATAAATAAAGCTGCAGTCGTGCGACTTGGTGCCACGTGGACGTGGACTTTGATTTATTCTTCTGGCTGAATCTCCCCGCTCCCCCCCCCCCCAGAAAGAGTGTCTTAGCTCTATGGGCTTTTGCTTTTAATACACTTGTGATTCCACAAGGCTCTTTGAGATGCTGCTCGGGCATTTAAGTATGCCAAATATATGCAAACCTTTTGATTGTGAATTGTGCTTTTCTGGCCGCATTCCAAAAAAGTTGTGAGTATACACATATATGAAAGCACAGCATATCCTGCGTGTCTTTGAATAAAATAACGTAGGAACAATGCACAGCCTTTATTTACTGTTGCATGGCCTCCTTGCTCTGTGTCAGTCGTGGGAGTTGTGAGAACATGCTTCAGCAGGTCAGTCGGTGCGGATTGGCGAGGGGGTTGAGACAGGCCAGTACCAACTCGTGCATCACTTGGCCACCAATGTTAAGCGTGGCCAGGTATCGAACTCGCGTGATTGGGTTCACGGCACATGCGCTAACCGTGATGCCCATCGCTCCACCAGCGGGAAATACGGTGATGTGCGTACCGCACAATATCATGGCCACAAACCAAACGTGCGCGCAGTTTAATGCCAAATGTTACACTCGTGAAAGAAAGACGTCCTTTAATTTTTGTTTCTCATAATGGCTATTATACAATGGAAATAAAGACCTCTAGGAGTGGGCCAAGGTATAGTTCACAATATCCTTGTGAAACTAATCACTTGCCGACGCAAAAAAAGACAAAGATGAAGGTCCTACCTCTGGCCCCAAAAGACTGTAGGGGCAAGTGCTGTTAGCGAACACCTATGAAGGCCGGCACGGCACACAAGGGGGTGGGTGGCCAATACAAGGCCCGGCCGCCTTTGTCTCTCCAGTGTTGATGTTTACACACCACACCAGGAACTAATTTGAGGTTGAGTCGACCTAGGGGAGGCCTCGGACCAATTCAGAAAATTGTCACTGGTGTTGGCCGTGAGCGTGTTGCACTGCCCACTTGCTGAGACAAGGGTATGAACACACAGACACACCACAGCCGAGCTAGATGGCCAGTCTCTCACCATACCACCTCGGTATCATTTTTAATCCGGCCTGTTCTGTGATTGTGTCTATTTTCAGTGCGCGACGGCAGTACCGTGAAGCATTACCGGATCCGGCAACTGGATGGAGAGGGTGGTTTCTTCATATCGAGACGGGTCACGTTTCAAAATCTGATTGAACTGGTGCAGTACTACAAATCGAACTCTGATGGGCTCTGCATGGCCTTACAAAAAGCTTGCGTGGTGGTGAGTTTTTTTTGGGGGGTTCCTTCCTTTTCTGTGCTCCGTTCTCAGGTTCCCCGACAAGGGATTAACGCGTCGTGACAAACAAAGAAAAAACTTGGCCACGAGACAGGTGTTGCACGGAGCTCCGATTCCCTACAGAACACCATGTGATTCTGTGAGGCATCATTAAACAAACAATTTGGTGAAAGTGTTCATTTGGAAACATTTTTTTAATTAAATTCTTCTCAAGCCCCATGGTTTGAAATGCAGCCTCCAAATGTTATCCATTCAGCTTTTCTGCCTGAAAGCTCGCTTATTTTGCACATATTTTTAGTTTTTTTTTTCCTTTTAGCAGTATTATTGATGAATTTGACTGTTTTTGTGAGGCATTGTGGACATTTGCTGCCTGCAATTAATAAGACGGAAGTGACATTCACATGAGCAGATCCGTGTTTCTTTTGGAAAGCTGAACTTGTAATGAAAAGTAATGTACAGTACTCATGTGCTACAGTCTGCTATGACGTGTTTCAGAAAGATGGTTATGAATAAAAATTACCCAAAAATATAGAACAACTGGAAAGTGTACGATAAGCATGGAGAGATACATGCTTGGAATTACACTGAGAGACGGACTGATGAACGCATGGATTTAAACTACTAAACTTGACTAAACTTTTTATTTTTATTACGTAAGGCCCACTGAGCTCTATAGCTCTTTTTCAGAAGCGAACTAGTCACAAGTTATAGCCAAACGAGGTAGCTTATCACCTGCAAATTTATAGTAGCAGCCAAATCCTCTAAACGCATGTTTCTAAATGTGGAGGGATAAACCGAAGGAATTTGGAGAAAAATGTACGCGAGCACGCGGCAAACATGCAAACTCCAAATATACGGTCACCAGGGTTGGAGTCGGACTCACAACCTCCTGTATACCAGGCGAGGCAGTTAACATCTCATTTGTGTGTGTGAGAACGTACATAAGTTAATAAGATCTTCAAAGCTATGAAGACAAAGTGGGTAGGACACTTGGCGAGAATGGGTGACGGATAAGGCCAAGGAATATGGAACACTTCGTAGAGGAAACAATGATGAAATGGGTTCATGCAAAGGTTTTGGATGGATTTGGTGCATAGCAGGATTGTGAGATCTGGTGGGGGTTTTGTGGGAGGTCTTCATCCAGCAGTGAGTTCTTCATGGCGAATGGTGATGAAACCAATGTGTGCCAATGACCTGGACAAAATAAAACATGTTGAAATTACCTTTAACTTCAGGAAAATTATTCAGGAATATTTTTTTTGCAGTATTTACAAAGTGCATCGTCGAGTTGCGTTAAACGTTGCACGACCAATTAGTCACGTAACAGCACGCATTCTTGCGCCCTTTTGTGATGTCAGATAGAAGTTCCCAACACGATGGGACTGTCCTACAATACGGTGGATAAGTGGGAGATCCCGCGGGCCTCGATCCAGCTGCAGAAACGGCTGGGGGCTGGCATGTTCGGCGAGGTTTGGCAAGGCCTCTGGAACAACAGCACTTTGGTGGCGGTGAAAACCCTCAAGCAAGGTCTGACGGTCGTCATTTGTGCACCAAATCACCAGCACGCAGCAACCACTGCGCCACGGAAGGGGGCAAAACAATTTGTCGATCGATCGATAACACTGGTCAACACACGTTTTCTGGCATAAGGTATTCCAATGGGTTTAAGGTAATTTTGGGGTGCTGATCAGGTTTTTGAGATATCAAATATTGCATTTTCAATAAAAACTGCAGAAGAAAAATATTAAATAAATGTGGATATCTACATAAAATTATTATAAACACACTATCCTAAAAATACAGCACTATATTTTAACATTAAAGCAGTCACTGACTCGCAACAACTTGCAATCATAAGTGACAGAGTTAATTTCGGGTAAAATCAATGAAAATGGGGTATGCCGATAGCATAAAAATGAGATGTGATAGAGCAAATCTGAGATCAGATTTGGAATCAGCACCCTGAAATTAGTCTAAAACAGCTGCAAAAGTCCAGGCCAGAAAAAAAGTTTTTTTGTTGACCAGTGTTATTCATTCATTGGCTCGTGGTACTTGTGTCGAATTGCGTGCGTCTGCAAATGATGTGCAACCGATGCTCGTGCATGTGTGCGTGTTGAACTTGTTTCACACCGCACGTAGCCAAACATGCAAATTGGAGGTTCGGGATACGCTAATGTACCGTGTAGAATGAAATGGCGCTACCAGATCGCGCAAGCAAGAATAATCTGTGGGCATGGGAGGGTCGCACATTTCACTTTAAAGTGCACTCTCTCTTCACATAATTTTTTTTTTAAAGGTAGCGAAATATGTTGAACGGTGTTGACTTGTATGCTGTACATGAATATAATGTCCTTCTACCTTCGCGAATATAAATTAACGATTTTATAACAATGGCACCTTCACTGTGATTACCATACACCACGCATCCTTTCTCTCGTTTTTATTTCGTAACATCGACAATGCCACCAACTTGGTACGCTTTAAATGAATAACATTTTCATGGCGATGACGCCGTTAGAGGATTTCCAGTGATTTCGCAACAAAATTGAGTGACGTTCATTGTGCGGCTCAGGGCTCGAATATCAATGAACTGGCTTCGAACACTGGAGGTTTTGTTGAAGGCAGGTGGAACGTAACTGAAGAGATGCACACTTTTTCGATTTAAAGCTTTCGTGACTGCAGGGATTCATCTTCTTGGTTCTTTTGGTAAAGTCACGTAGAATGGAAATAATACAATAATAAAAATAAAACATAATAAAATAATTCTCACGACGTTTCGGCCACAACGACAGACTCTGTCTTCTCGACAGACCTGTTCTTCAGACACTGTCTTCTCAACAGACCTGTTCTTCAGACACTGTCTTTCCGACAGACCTGTTCTTCAGACACTGTCTTTCCGACAGACCTGTTCTTCAGACACTGTCTTTCCGACAGACCTGTTCTTCAGACACTGTCTTTCCGACAGACCTGTTTTTCACCTGATGGCTGCTTGCGTTGTGGCCGAAACGTCGTGAGAATTATTTTATCATGTTTATTTTTAATTTCAGACACTGTCTTTCCGACAGACCTGTTCTTCAGACACTGTCTTTCCGACAGACATGTTCTTCACCTGAGGACGGCTGCTTTCGTTGTGGCCGAAACGTCGTGAGAATTATGTTTTAATTTTATTATTTTATTATTTCCATTCTACGTGACTTTACCGAAAGAACCAAGAAGAAGATGCACACTTGTTGCAATAGCGTGTATCCAATTCTGCGATGTTGACTTTGGCTATGCTTCTTCTTCTTCTTGCACCCGCCACGCTGCTCAGGAGCTATGAAAAAGGAGGAGTTCATCGGGGAGGCGCAGATCATGAAGCAGCTCCGCCATGCGAACCTCATCCAACTGTACGCCGTGTGCAGTCAAGAGGAGCCCGTCTACATCATCACCGAGCTCATGAAGCACGGCAGCTTGCTGGACTACCTGAGAGGTATAGACATCGACACTGCTGATCTGGTTTGGTTTCGGCGATTCACACGTACAATGTTCAACTTGTACTAATCGATTTTTGCAGATTTTTTTTTTGATGACTCCGTCTTGTTTTACCAATTTTATTCCATCGTGTCATGAGATCAAAAGAGACGTCCGGAACTCTGGAAAAAGCGGTGCATCTCTCCCCGTTAGAGAACGGCCCCCACGGAATTGGATTTCACCAAAAATTACTTCTGTGACCCCTTCTAGTGACCTTTGGTTCACACAATAGGAGGGGGGGCAGCGCTTTCCCATCCGCCCAACCACCAGGAGTAATGTTCATCACAATTGAATGCGATTTATTTGTGATACGCAATCGTTGGCGACCAAACAAAACAGAGACCATAGATTCGCTGCGCTCGTGAATCCGCATCGGCCGTAGACAGCTGCCCAGAGATTCGAACCCAGGAATTTTTGCAGTGACAGCTCAGTGCTCTGGCCTCTTACCCACACAGCCACTTCCTCAATCTCGTGTAAATCCATGCATCTGTATGCCTGCACACACTCATTTGTGAAGTTATTTGTCAATACATTACCTATTTGTACGTTTCAAGGGTAGGCTGCAGACATTTGAAATGCTGCATTCTTCATTTATATTCAAGGTCACCAATTTATTTGCTATTTTACATCCGTTTCATAATTAGAACTGAATGGATTGACATATGAGTGGCATCTTTTTTCTTCTGTAAGTTAAGCGCTAACTTTATACTGGTAGGAACCTCCTGGTTACACCAGCCCACAGGGGATTATTGTGTCCGTCGTCCAGGGAGGGGCTGGGTGGGGAGGGGCTGGGTGGGGAGGGTGGGGAGGGGCTGGGTGGGGCTGGGTGGAGAGGGGAGGGTGGGGAGGGGCTGGGTGGGGAGGGTGGGGAGGGTGGGGGGGGGCTGGGTGGGGAGGGAGGGGAGGATAGGGGAGGGTGGGGCTGGGTGGGGAGGGGAGGGTGGGGAGGGGCTGGGTGGGGAGGGTGGGGAGGGACTGGGTGGGGCTGGGTGGAGAGAGGAGGGTGGGGAGGGGAGGTTGGGGAGGGTGGGCTGGGTGGGGAGGGTGGGGGGGGCTGGGTGGGGAGGGTGGGGCTGGGTGAGGTGGGGCTGGGTGGGGAGGGGCTGGTCACCCCGTGGTGCCCTTATAAAACTCAACGTTTAACCTACTCACGCCGGCTTGTGCCCGCCTTCACAGTCGGCCATATTTGCGGAATACACCACGCCGCCGTTGACCCTGGCCATTGACCGAGCAACCCAACGCTCCTACCAGCTCCCTCCGCAGGAATGTGTTGTTGGGGAGATAGCATAGGAGGATGTATGAGGGGACGAGTGGGGAGTGAGGTACTGGGCTGATGCAATGTCACATTTCTCGGTAAGACACAAGGCAGTTGTTCTGTAATGCATGGGACCTATCTCTCCCTGCTGTTAGGAGCTGCCTTTGTTTGGCTGTTACACACCGACTCTTAATAATCCTAAACATGGTCCGGTGTGACTTGGGTAACTAGCGACGACCCTGCTTGCGCTTTTTGTTGACCTTATTCTTGTTATGAATATGAATAATGTGTCCGTGTCTCAATGCCATACATGCCCTGGTTTCCTGCATGATGCGACTCACGCTGATTGGTTCCTGCACTCCACGAGTATGTAGCCTACCATGCTAATTGAAGGTACAGGGGATGGACTACAAACTAAATGCTAAAAGCAGTTCTAAATAAATTAGTTTTTTCAATCTAGATTTAAAAGAGCACAACTCCAGTGGCTTCGTAATATCGGAAGGAAGAGCTTTCCAGACGGCTGCAGAAGCGCTTCTGAAAGCACGCTGATGTGGTGACCATCTTTGTTCGATAGCCAGCCGAAAGCCGCTGTGAGGATGACCGGAGTTGTTTGCGTGATGATGGTTTATGCTCCTTGGCGAGAGTATGTGGCACTGGTCATGCGTCACTTTACCCTCGTACAAATTTGTGTAAAAATGTAAATGTTTTACATCGTTAAATTATACGTGCTAGTGATTCGAATTTCCATATGTCACAAAAGGGGGTGAAGGTCTTTGTCTTGATCTTGATCTAAACCTCATATTTGTTGACAATGCTTGGGTGAAGGAGATCGAGATATCTGTAGATTGTAAAAAGAGAAATAAATAAAGATGTTTAGTTTGTGATTAGTTGTAATTGTAAATATTAGTAGGGGGGGGGGGGGTTACTGTAAAAGTTCCCTGCAAGTCAATTTTACTTTTAAAGGACCGTATATAAAGTGGCTGTAGTCTGCGTGCCTTCACTGGAGGAGTAGCAACACTCCACCAACTCTCTCCTGCAGGCCTCTCGTCGTTGGCAGGCCTCGGCATTGGCATTTAGCTCCTGGGCATCTTGCGATACGCAAGATATGAAATGGAACGAGTGTGTCACCGTTTCAAGTTTCGCCCCGGAATGTCATTAATTACACCTAGGCTACAGCTTACCTTGGATAAAACACTGAATCATAGATAAAATACACTAGTTACAAAGCCACAGGAAATTATAGATTTAACAAAGAAATTGCAAAAGTTAATTGATTTTCGTCATTACAAACAACTCCCAAGACAAGGCACGTTTAGCGTTTACTAAATTGGGCTTCAGTATATCATGTTTAACAAGATTTACAAGTTTGGCATACTGTATTATGCCTTTCTTGAATCTCAAAACAAATATTTATATTTACAGTTCTTGTGAAGCTGGCTTTTATAGAAAACAAAAATGACAACTGTCATATGGTTGTTATCATAGCTCTACCATTGTAAACCCGAGATGGTTGATATTCCTGCATTTGATGTTTATAGCCATTTTTTTTCCAAACCAGATTTTGGAGAACCTCATAACATCGCGAAAATAAACCTCCATGGCTTGGATCCTCATCACAGTTACCTTCATGCAATATTAGTTTAACTGTCCCATTCTTGTAAATAGTTTAAATTGTCTCTATTTTTGTGGGCTGTTGTTTGTGGAATCGTGGATGACCGCATCAATTTCCACTGAGTCACGTTGCTTCTCGTAGCCTATAATGGCCAAGCACAGTGGAATTTGATGTTCGTCAGTGTGTCCCCTGAATGTGACTGATTGGATGTTGTTCGTAGTGGAACAAGAGATGATTCCTCAATTTCGATGTAAAGCTTTCGTGACTGCAGGGATTCATCTTCTTGGTTCTTTCGGTAAAGTCATGTAGAAGGGAAGTAATAAAATAATAAAAATAAAACACAATAAAATAATTCTCACGACGTTTCGGCCACAACGCAAGCAGCCGTTCTCAGGTGAAAACCAGGTCCGTCGAGGCGACAGAGTCTGAATGAAACAGCACACGAGCTTGGAGTAGCTTATATATATGCTCCAAGCTCGTGTGCTGTTTCATTCAGACGCTGTCGCCTCGACGGACCTGGTTTTCACCTGAGGACGGCTGCTTGCGTTGTGGCCGAAACGTCGTGAGAATTATTTTATTGTGTTTTATTTTTATTATTTTATTACTTCCCTTCTACGTGACTTTACCGAAAGAACCAAGAAGAAGATTCCTCAAGTCTGGCCTGTTAATGTTTTTGGTCGGTATACGTGCAGTAAGATATACATGGGTCTGTTATTCTTCAAGTTAGTATTGTCACCCTCTTTGATTAGCAGAGAACAATGGGAATGAAATACACGGAAATGTAAGAACATAATAAAGAAAGCTGCAAAGTTGGGCTCAAGATAAATATATATGTAAGCAAAACCAAAAAAGGCATTCACAACAAGTTCACTTCACAAATGAAGATCTTTGTTGGACGGACAGAACTGGAAAACACATCGGAGTATTTACCCAAGTCGAATTATGAAAGTGCGATGAAGACACGAGTGATTTAGGGGTTTAAGTACTTTTGGATAATGAAAAGTCACGTAGAAATGTGCCTAAAGGAGAGAGATTTAAATCCTTGTATATCGCCTGCTATGACATGCATCAGCAACATGGAAACTGACAAAGGAAATGGAACAAACGTTTAAAAGTGTATGAAGAAGCATGGAGAGATACATGCGTGAAATTATGTAATACAGAAAGCAGAACACGTATAAGAGCCAGATGTATCATATTGACATTCATTCAGCAGTGGATAGATCATAGCTGCTGATGATTATGATGATTTATCGTCTATTTACAAACTAAACAATTGCATGTGTTGCATGTAGTTTTCATGAAGAAAAAGCTTCTCCAGGATAAATAAAGGTTCCGATTCTGTAAAAAAAAAGAACAATTGCATTCATATATTTTTTACAGTACCAATGTCGTTTCTAAACCATCTTAAAGGCTATTGTCCTCTGACCACACACTACCTATAACTTGGTAGATAATAGTCAATTAGCAGGTCACGTGGGATATGATCAATTATGGGTTACTGCCCAACTTTTCCCAAGTCATTTGACTAGCGTGGAAGAGTAGGCCAAATTACCTCTAGATGCCCTCTCCTAGGGCTCCGTCTAGTGGTGGTCCTTCTGAAAGCATTTGTGTGAGCAAATAATTGCAGGGCCGCACGTTAAACCCTATTTTAGGAACGTCTTGACTGTGTCATTCATTACACTGGTCAACACACTTTTTCTGGCATAAGGTATTCCAATGGTTTAATGTAATTTTGGGGTGCTGATCAGGTTTTTGAAATATCAAATATTGCATTTTCAATAAAAACTGCAGAAGAAAAATATTAAATAAATGTGGATATCTACATAAAATTATGTTATAAACACACTATCCTAAAAATGCAGCACAATATTTTAACACTAAAGCAGTCACTGACTCGCAACAACTTGCAATCATAAGTGACAGAGTTAATTTTGGGTAAAATCAATGAAAACGTGGTATGCCGATAGCATAAAAATGAGATGTGATAGAGCAAATCTGAGATAAGATTTGGAATCAGCACCCTGAAATTAGTCTAAAACAGCTGCAAAAGTCCAGGCCAGAAAAAAATGTTTTTTTGTTGACCAGTGTTATCGGTCCCATCAAGTTGTGTGAAGTCCTCTCAAGCATTCAACGAATGCAATGATTCTCTTGCCTCTCAATTTTAACACTCAAAGCAAGGGAGCTCTTCTTCCCCGCGACGGTTAACCGTGTGAATGCTGCTCCTACTCCTGTGTCCAGGACCCCTGGGGAGTCAACTCAAGGCACCGGAACTGGTGGACATGGCTCGCCAGGTTGCCGCTGGAATGGCCTACCTCGAGAGCCAGAACTACATCCACAGAGACCTGGCTGCGCGAAACATCCTTGTTGGGGAAGGCAAAGTGTGCAAGGTGGCCGATTTTGGGCTCGCCCGGATTATCAAGGTATGCGTTGCAAGCGAGCAATCTCTCTCTCTCTTTCCAGCTCGCCAGTATGGATGTGCTTTGGGTCGTTACTGGGTGTTGTTCAGAATGATATCGGACATTTTGCTCCGTGTGCCTGGAGGGTCGTCATCATTGGCGAGATGTTAACTACCTCAGCTGGTATACAGGATGTCATGGGTTCGATCCCGACCCTGACACCTGCAGTATATTTTAAGTTTGCATGTTCTCCCCGTGGTCGTGTTGATTTTTCTCCGGGTCCTCCGTTTTTTTCCCCTCCACACTTAGAAACGTGCGTTTCGAGTATTTGACTGCGATACATTTCCACGTGACAAGCCACTTCGTTGAGCTATCATTTGTGGCCAGGTCGCTACGTATCTCAGTGGGCCTTACCTGGTAAAATAAAAAATAGCTTGGTTTAATAGTTACTGAAGAATCTCTCGGCATGCGGAACCCGAAAGCACATTAGATGGCTGTACAACACAACCGTGAAAAGCCTACGCAGTAGACTTTCTCTCTCTCCCGTATCCTGAAGCATTAATTTTGATGCAAACGCTCCAACACTGCCACTTGTTCATGCCATTAACAATGATTCCTCTTCTCACATTGGTCCTATGTCTCCTTAATTTTGGAGGGGTCTACCCTTCAGCTTCGTGTCTTCCTGTTTACACTGCAAGAGCCCCCTTGGTATTTTGTCGTCGATCATTGTCAATGGTCTTCTGACATCCAACCAATCCCTATATTTCTATTCTCGTGGTGCATATCAATACGCCTGGTTATTATTACTATTACTCCGTGACTGCAGGGATTCATCTTCTTGGTTCTTTCGGTAAAGTCACGAAGAATGGAAATAATAAAATAATAAAAATAAAACATAATAAAATAATTCTCACGACGTTTCGGCCACAACGCAAGCAGCCGTCCTCAGGTGGAGAGCAGGTCTGTCGATAAGATAGAGTCTGAATGACACACTCCAGGCTTGGAGCGACTATTTAAGCTGGAAAATGTACACTGCAACTTAATTGGGGGGGAAAGCCCCCACATAGCAACGTTGCCCCCTACTGGCAGACTAATTGGCAGGCCGTGCTGCTTACACTTCGTGCCCCACGTATGGACAGCTGCCATTGGGGTCCCCTTGGCTAGATGGCAGCGGGGCATTGAAATAGTTGATATAAGGCGTGATGTAAGGAGCTTTGATTTTCTGAGCCATTCAAGCATCCTCTAAATGAAAGTCGTCATTGTCAATGTTCAAGAGGTGTCATCATTGTAAACCTAATTTCAAACGTTGTTTAGTAATGTACAGTAGTCTATGAAATATATTCATATAGCATAAGCTTGTTGGAAAAAAAAGATATGCTTTTTATACGATTACCGTCATATATAACTTGGACCGATGCAATTACAATAACATTTTTTTTTATATAATATTTAGTGGGGCTTTTTTCTTTTTAAATCCTTTATATTAAGTTCACTTGCTTGCTTGCACGCTTACGACCGTGCAAATCTTTCGGTCGTTTTTTAACCCACTTCCCGTGATCAAATCAAGCTGACATTTTGCACACAGACTCGTTGTGCGTGACAATTTATTTTCGTGAAAAAAAATTCCAAAATTTTACACTTTTTAGGAAAAAATAAATTATATTTAATTACCAATTGCTTAATGGTGGCAGGCAATCATCTGACCCGTAGGTGGCAGCCATCTCAAGCCAGAGGACGAGAGGACTCTAGCCGCCACGCATATAAAGGATTTATAGTGGAAAACTTTGTTTTTACGGGTTAATTTTTTAAAACTCGTAGTCATAAAAGCACTCTGCAAAGTCCGCCCAAAAAAATCCATGCCGTATAAATGAACATTCGCGGATTTGATTGGCAGCGTGTTCTGTGTGACGATGCGAGTCGCTGCAGGTTGTGTACGCCTGAAACACATGGCGCGTTCCTCGGAATGCAACTTTTGTTTTCCAGGAAGACGAATACGAGGGGAAGGCCGGGGCCAAGGTGCCAATCAAGTGGACTGCCCCAGAAGCTGTGAATTATCACCGTTTCTCCGTCAAATCCGACGTCTGGTCCTTCGGCATCCTCCTGTATGAGCTCATCACGTACGGCAGGATGCCTTACCCTGGTTAGTAGCTGCTCACTTCGTTTGCTACAATGGAGTGCATTCTGGGACCTCCCTTGCCAGTAGCAAAATAAAAGAATAGGTTTTACCCTTTCTAGCAATAAAACAGGTGTTAAGATATTCTTGGTTCTTTCGGTAAAGTCACGTAGACGGGAAATAATAAAATAATGCAAAATCCACGGCAAATTTTCTTGCTGTGGATTTCACACCTGATGATGATTTGCTTGTGTTGCAGTCGAAACGTCGTGAGAATTTTTATTGTTTTATATTTATTTTATTTTATTATTTCCCTTCTATGTGACTTTACCGAAAGAACCAAGAATATGAATCCCTGCAGTCACGAAAGTTTTAAATCAAAATTTAGGTGTTAAAACACCAAATAGAAACCTTTTGCAAGGGATCATGTCTGCATTTACCACATATAATTGTGGTCAATATGCAAACGAGAAATCATTCTCTGGTAGTATAAAACAGCATGTATATGCATTCACTACCAGAGCGTATTTTTTTATTATTATTTTACAATGGAGTACATGGCTCACATCCTGGTGGTGAGATGTTAACTACCTCGCCTGGTATGCAGCAGGTCGTGGGTTCGATCCCGACCTTGACGCCTGCTGCTGTATATTTGTAGTTTTTTTGCATGTTCTCTCCATGGTCGTGTGGATTTTTATCCGGGTCCTCTGGTTTTTGTCTCCACTTAGAATCGGCGTATTTGGCTGCTATCAATTTCCACGTGATGAGCCACTTCGTTGAGCTCCCATTTGTGGCCAGCTCACTTATGAATAAGAGCCATATAATAATTGGTTCTTTACCCTTCTATCTGGCAACAAAACTGACACCTTTTTGCAAGGAGTCATGTTTGCATAGACCGCAATACCTGCAGTCATAATACAAACAAAAGAACATAACTCTGATAATGTGCACTGTCCTTGAAGTTGATTGGTCCACACCCGAGACAGCTTTCCTTCGAGCCTAGTCTCATATGGGTTGGATCAGATGACGCCAAAAGGCGCACAACTCAAGGACAATGCACCATCAGAGTATGATGCTTGCCCCGAGCTCTCATACTCTGATGGTGCATTGTCCTTGAGTTGTGCGCCTTTTGGCGTCATCTGATCCAACCCATATGAGACTAGGCTCGAAGGAAAGCTGTCTCGGGTGTGGACCAATCAACTTCAAGGACAGTGCACATTATCAGAGTTTTGTTCTTTTGTTTGTATTATGACTGCAGGTATTGCGGTCTATGCAAACATGACTCCTTGCAAAAAGGTGTCAGTTATGTTGCCAGATAGAAGGGTAAAGAACCAATTATCATATTTTTACTGGCAAATGAGGTCCCCATAGTGTAGATGCTTGCCCTGAGCTCTCATACTCTGATGGTGCATTGTTCTTGAGTTGTGCGCCTTTTGGCGTCATCTGGTCCAACCCATATGAGACTAGGCTCGAAGGAAAGCTGTCTCGGGTGTGGACCAATCAACTTCAAGGACAGTGCACATTATCAGAGTTATGTTCTTTTGTTTGTATTATGACTGCAGGTATTGCGGTCTATGCAAACATGACTCCTTGCAAAAAGGTGTCAGTTTTGTTGCCAGATAGAAGGGTAAAGAACCAATTATCATATTTTTACTGGCAAATGAGGTCCCCATAGTGTAGATGCTTGCCCCGAGCTCTCATACTCTGATGGTGCATTGTCCTTGAGTTGTGCGCCTTTTGGCGTCATCTGGTCCAACCCATATGAGACTAGGCTCGAAGGAAAGCTGTCTCGGGTGTGGACCAATCAACTTCAAGGACAGTGCACATTATCAGAGTTATGTTATTTTGTTTGTATTATGACTGCAGGTATTGCGGTCTATGCAAACATGACTCCTTGCAAAAAGGTGTCAGTTTTGTTGCCAGATAGAAGGGTAAAGAACCAATTATCATATTTTTACTGGCAAATGAGGTCCCCATAGAAGAGCCATATAGCTTGGTGGGCCTTACGTTGTAAAATAAAAATAGTTTATAGTTTAATTTAGTTTGTTTAGTTTCAATGTGCCCAAACACGTGTTTACTGACACACGCCAATGAAAATGTACCACAATCACAAGAGGTATTCATTTATTTTTTACGTTTCAATCACATTCAATTTTCTCAGTACTTAAACATTTTACCTGCCAAGTTAATTTAGCAGTGTTAGTTACTGTTGCCCCAGATTTTTGTTTTACATTTGGCAATGATTGCATTTCTTTTCATCCGCTGAGCATAATAATACCATTTTAATTCAATTCAAATTATCAAATTTGTAACATGTAACGAAATAAATGCATGGCATGTGTGCACGAAAATGGCATGCAATGTCATGGAAAATTTATATGAAAATATTTCTCAGAGTTTCCCATTGTCACTCAGAGTACTGAGTTGGCACCACTGAGGTCCCCAGGTTCAACTTCAGGCCTGTGATTAAACTGGGTCCTCAAGTGTAGTGAGTTTTATGGCCTCAGCCTGGCCGCCAATGAATGCACACACACAAAAACACCTTAACATTAACTTTGGCTTGTCCACAAAGTTTAAGAATGAATATAATAAAATTTCATTTTTAGACACATTGTTTGATTGTCATGCCACAAATCTTAAATCTCAAATGAAGAGCGAGTGCGAGGTGCTGCCCCCTCTATCTACTGCGTGTCGTAACAGAGGTCGCTTGGAGGGATCTCAGACGTGGCTCTGTGAGATCCGCTTCCATTAAGGTTGATCATGCAGGATAATTCGTCTTAGTGGCACAATCAGGGCGGGAAAAAAAAAATTGGGAGGAAATGACTGTTTAAAGAGTTTACCATTGTATAAAAAAAAGTATTAATGAAACAGTATAATTATTGATGGTTTTGGAAACATTTCCAGCCTAAATAAATATGTATACAGTACTTGGGCCAACATGATCCCATACCATTAGTATGTGATGTTGGCGTGGTCTCTTAAACTACAGGTTAATAATTAAAATTATGTATTTTAAAATGAAAATCCTTTATTTGATCCAGTTAATAATCCATGGAGATGAGGTGCAGGATATGTGCAGTACATTTATTTAGAGATTATATCAGTGTCCGAAAGCATGCTTTTTAACCAGTTAAACCACATTAGGGTGTGTGATTAAGATACAGTTATTTTATTTGGTTAGTACTGATTAGATTCCATTTGGCATTTTCCCACGACCTGCAAGAGCCCTAACCTATATGCGTGATCTTTTGGGGCTAAAGTCTAACCCTGCCAGTTGTCTAGGCAACCTCGGTGTTTTGAAAAGGCTGCCCATTTGGTTCATCACACACTTGCCAGCGTTAGTATCAATCACATCGCTCACAAGGCTTGCCCACATGTCCATCACACACTTGCCAGCGTTAGTATCAATCACATCGCTCACGAGGCTTGCCCACATGTCCATCACACACTTGCCAGCGTTAGTATCAATCACATCGCTCACAAGGCTTACCCATATGTCCATCACACACTTGCCAGCGTTAGTATCAATCACATCGCTCACATGTGCCGATGCCTTTTCTTGTTGTTTTCGGTGTAAAATGTCACGTGACGATGGTTGTTATGCTAGCGCGTTGTAAAGCGTTGGCTTATTCACCATGACCAATTAACCACCCACTCTCAGTGCGGTGTATGCGTGCACAGTTTAGCTGTCATTTCCAAAAGGTGTTCACATATCCGACCTTTTCGCACATACCTGAGTTGGTTTGCGACGTTGTGCATTCTCTCTGTAACCGAGGGTTGCCGCTGTTTCCTAGAAACAAACTTTGAATCGTTTCTCTCTCAAAACCGGGCAGTGGACTGGAATACATTCGGATAGAATACCGGTACTAGGTCTCGGTATGAATCGATTCTTGCCATTGGAGCACAGATGTCAATCCGTGGACTGCCTGGTTAAAACCTAGACATGTGGCAACTCTAATGTATCCAGTCCAGATCATTGAGCTCTTTCATGAGGCTTCTTCTTGGAATGTTTAAATCCTCGGGGCTGTATCATAGCCACAACGATGAATGCAGCTGTTTATTTATATTTTGGCTTTGAACTCACCCTCTATGGCCTCATTAATGATTTGAGCATTATATTTATATTTACTGCGTAGTGTAGCATTACATTGTATATTTGACTTCCTGGAGAATTGGTACAGACAGCGAGAAATTCACCTCCGTGGGTCGCAATTGGTTTTGTTTGCCGCCGCATTATGAACACGGCAATCGGAGTTCGATTTCCCGCCACGGCTGCTATACGTGGCAAGTCGTATCACAACCAGTCATGCCCTCCATGCCCCCCCCCCCATCCACCTTAACCAGGCTGCACTGACTAGCATGGTGAAGATGGTCCTTAACCAGGCTGCACTGACTAGCATGGTGAAGGATGGTCCTTAACCAGGCTACTCTGACTAGCATGGTGAAGGATGGTCCTTACCCAGGCTGCACTGACTAGCATGGTGAAAGATGGTCCTTAACCAGCTGCACTGACTAGCATGGTGAAGGATGGTATTTAACCAGGCTGCACTGACTAGCATGGTGAAGGATGGTCCTTACCCAGGCTGCACTGACTAGCATGGTGAAGGATGGTCCTTAACCAGGCTGCACTGACTAGCATGGTGAAGATGGTCCTTAACCAGGCTGCACTGACTTAGCATGGTGAAGGATGGTCCTTAACCAGGCTGCACTGACTAGTATGGTGAAGGATGGTCCTTAACCAGGCTGCACTGACTAGCATGGTGAAGATGGTCCTTAACCAGGCTGCACTGACTTAGCATGGTGAAGGATGGTCCTTAACCAGGCTGCACTGACTAGTATGGTGAAGGATGGTCCTTAACCAGGCTGCACTGACTAGCATGGTGAAGATGGTCCTTAACCAGGCTGCACTGACTTAGCATGGTGAAGGATGGTCCTTAACCAGGCTGCACTGACTAGCATGGTGAAGATGGTCCTTAACCAGGCTGCACTGACTAGCATGGTGAAGATGGTCCTTAACCAGGCTGCACTGACTTAGCATGGTGAAGGATGGTCCTTAACCAGGCTGCACTGACTAGCATGGTGAAGATGGTCCTTAACCAGGCTGCACTGACTAGCATGATGAAGATGGTCCTTAACCAGGCTGCACTGACTAGCATGGTGAAGGATGGTATCCCCCCCCCCCCTGCCCATGATTGACATGGGTTCGCAGAGGGCTTCATCCGCTGATAATGTCTGTAACGCAATTACTTTTATCATCTATTATTAAAAAGGAAAATTGTGTTCTCTCCCCCTTCTACTTAAGGGTATTGCAATGCCTCCCTGCGAGGTAGTGGTGGAAATTCCACATTTACATGTCAGGTGCATCTCACAATAGGGATTACCTCTGTTGACTTTCCACACGTTGGTGAGTCTCGAGAGAGAGTGGAGAATGTGTGCATAACGATGATAATAAAACATTATACACTATTTTCATTTGCACAGGTAAGGCCTACGGAGCTACATGAGTTCTTTCGCAGCGATCTGGCCACAAATTATAGCTAAAAAAATGATAGCTGAACTCTAAAGACATGTTTATAAATGTAGAGGGAAAAACCGGGAGGACCCGTAGAAAAATCCACGCGACCACGGGGATGAGATGCAAACTCGAAATATACAGCAAGTGTCGGGGTCGGGTTCGAACCCACGTCCTCCTGTATACCAGGCGAGGTAGTAAACATCTCGCCACCGTGGCATCCACTAATATCACGTTGCACATCTGACTCCCCAGGGAATTGTCATAGTCAGTAGTAATAATAATAATACTGGTAGGAACCACCTGGTTCCACCAGCCCACAGGGGATTCTTGTGTCCGTCCGTCCATCGTGCATCCAAAAATGGGGGGAGGGGTGAGTAGGGGCTGGGTGGGGAGGGTGGGGAGGGGCTGGGTGGTGAGGAGAGGGTGGGAGGGGCTGGGTGGTGAGGGGAGGATGGGGAGGGGCCGGTCACCCCGTGGTGCGCTTATAAAACTCAACGTTTAACATACTCACGCCGGCTTGTGCCCGCCCTCACAGTCGGCCATATTTGAGGAATACACCACGCCGCCGTTGACCCTGGCCATTGACCGAGCAACCCAACGTTCTTACCAGCTCCCTCCGCAGGAATGTGTTAATGTTGTCGTCATGTGATGTTTTTATTTTATTTAGAAATGAACAACATGGAGGTGATGAAACAGCTGGAGCGGGGCTACCGGATGCCGCAGCCAGAGAATTGCCCGCCGCTCTTTTACTCCATCATGTTGGAGTGCTGGAACAAGAAGGAAGAGGAGCGACCAACGTTCGAGACCTTGCAGTGGAGGCTGGATTACTTTGACTCGGACCCGAACAACTACACAGATGCACAAGCCTTTGTCCGTTAGGAGGTTGGAAAGGGGGCGATATGGGTGATCGAGGTATGTGTGACGTATGGAAGAGTGGGAGTTGGCACTCGCATTGCGGATGTGAAAGATGTCGTAATGACGGCAAATGTTATTGCCATATCGTTGAATAAAAACAGTACATGCAATCATTTGTATATAAAATACGGTAATCGTGTTGTGGTGAAATGTGACCTCTGATATAAACACAAGAATATAGCGGTATGATATTAATGTACAGATTTTAGGAATCGCACACTACTACAGTCATTGGATATAATAGTGAATCTGAGGTGTCTTCATAAACAAAAAACTATATTTTGTATTCTAGATTTGAAGCTTTCGTGACTGCAAGGATTCATATTCTTAGGTTTTTTCGGTAAAGTCACGTAGGTAAAAATTTAAAATTAATAAAAGTAAAATAATTAATTTTACTTTCATTAATTACAATTTTTTATTTTACTTTTATTAATTTAATTTTTTACCTACGTGACTTTACCGAAAAAACCTAAGAATATATATTTTGTATCTCTCTTTGCAAGTCTAATTCCACACACAGACACACCTATTTCTACACTTTTCTGTCGCATTATAATAAACCAACGCTTAAGCATAAACATTGTCACTCGGTATGCGGTGGCATTGTACAATTCACCAACACCCGTTTCCCACGTGGAACACGTGAGTGTGTTGCAACTTAACTGCTTGGCCAGATTGCAAATATTTCCGTACAATTATAAATCACATTCATCCTAAAAACGTCAACCAATGCTAACTTTATATGATGTCAATTAAGTATAAAGCCATAAACAACGTAATAACTGAATCAAGTGCTAAACAAGTAGGGTTTCACGACCAATATTATCCATAAAATAGAGGTTTTGGGGTGAGATGGCTTAAATATAAATGCGTCGTTAAACCCACCACCACCTGACACGGCCAATTAATAAGGTTTGTCATGTAAACAAAACACGTAAATTCGTTACGAGTACAGCACACCGGTGTGTTGGAGACTAAACCCACAGTTACTCAAATTGTAAATGTTGCAAAACGGACACGTTTACATTTACATGATCTAACCCAAATACCTCTTGTGCATTACGAATCAAGTGTGTACATTGCCGTTGCAATTACAATACAGTTGCAGGCAGGAAAGAGTCGGGTGTTAATGCCAAGGTCACACTGTTAGTCTATGACAGACGCTCGAGTCAAAAGCAGCCCTATTTTTCTCGCGGTACATCGGTAGGAGCACATGTCCACGGGGACATGAAAATGGTCAGATGTAGAGCGGCCTCGGATGAATCTTGGCCACATTTCTCAGTTTTCCTGCGGCATGTGCAGCACAAGCTGCATGGCCATTCCTCAAGCTCTTTCTGCCTGTGCAATAAATGTCTCTCGTTGAAATCTCCGCGAAATGTGCACAGTCCTCCGACGCGGTCACGTTTTGGACACTGCAATGTGTCGTGTGATGTGCAAGCTGTAGCACAGTCACCTGTTTTTTTTAAATCCTTTATATTAAGTTCACTTGCTTGCTTGCTTGCGCGCTTACGACCGTGCAAATCTTTCGGTCGTTTTTTAACCCACTTCCCGTGATCCAATCGAGCTGACATTTTGCACACAGACTCGTTGTGCGTGACAATTTATTGTCGTGAAATTTTTTTTCCAAAATTTCCCACTTTTTAGGAATTGTTTTTTTCATATTAATTTTAAATACCAATGTGATAAAAATGAAACTCTTACTCAAGAAAAACAGAAATGAATAATTCATTCATAATCAACGTTTTTGGGTTTAGATCGCGTTTATTTATAAATGTGTCGTAACCCTCCACCACCCGACACGGCCAATCAGTAAAAAAGTGTCACGTTGACAAAGACAAATAGTTCACTGCTTTAGCCCACCGGTGTGTTGAAGCCACAACATTTACAATTTGAGTACGACGTTTCGCTGGTAATTGCAACCAGCATCATCGGGCAATTCGCCAGAATGGTGAGGTTCTCCTGTGTCTCCCGTTCTTATATAGAGCAGCAGCAGGGTGACGTCATCATTAACTCATTAACTCATCATGGCATGCATGTTCTGCTACTGCCGACAGTTGTGTTTGTCGGCAGTAGCAGAACATGCATGCCAACAGGGACACTCAATTGATTTTGACAACGTGGAAGTGTTGTGTAAAACTAGTTACTACTGGCAAAGACTAATTAGAGAATCGATTGAAATTGAGAGAAACAGAAATAACTTTAATCGCTCAGACAGCTACAGGCTTAGTGCGGCCTGGAAGCGTATAATTAAATAAGATACATTACAATTACTTATAAGGGAAACAACCACTAACTGATTACTAATGTAGCATAATCACAATTAAACACATTCCAAATGATTACTAATCTACAACTCGCATCGTAACAATAGCCTGATTACTAATCTAGTATATAATTACAATCACTCCCCCCTTGAATCTTGGCACCTGATGAGTTAATGAGTTAATGATGACGTCACCCTGCTGCTGCTCTATATAAGAACGGGAGACACAGGAGAACCTCACCATTCTGGCGAATTGCCCGATGATGGTGGTTGCAATTACCAGCGAAACGTCGTACTCAAATTGTAAATGTTGTGGCTTCAACACACCGGTGGGCTAAAGCAGTGAACTATTTGTCTTTGTCAACGTGACACTTTTTTACTGATTGGCCGTGTCGGGTGGTGGAGGGTTACGACACATTTATAAATAAACGCGATCTAAACCCAAAAACGTTGATTATGAATAACATTGGTCGCGAAAGCCTACGTGTTAAAATTAATAATTCAATAAAAACCGATGCCACGCATATAAAGGATTTATAGTGAAAAACTTTGTTTTTACGGGTAAATTTTTTGTAAGTTTCCCCAACCTTGGTTTCACTCGTAGTGCTTTTTATTTATTTATATATGGGGAGTGTAAGCAAGCTTCAAAGGTTCCAGTTGTGTTTGTTGTTTAACCGGGCGAGAGCTCAAGAGACCAAGGAGATAGCCGCGTTTGCAAGGAGTGACCTTGGTTACCAAATTGACGAAAGCAAAACAGCGCAGCAACGATACTAGACGTTGAAACAGAACAAAAAAAAACGCCATATCGGCACGAGCATTATGAAAAAAATGTTGTGAACCTAAACTAATGTTAAAATATTAACTCCCCCCCCCCCCCCCCCCTTCATTGCAAATCAGCAAAAAGGTAGGATCATTTACAAGACCGGTTCTTCACCCAACCTTGATAATTTAACACGTATCCAAACCTGTATTATAACTTGAATCATAGTTGACAACTTGGAGGAGGTTCTTGGTGTACATTCATGTTGGTGATATGGAAAGAGGTGTGGGGCATGAAACAACCCATGTTCCTGGCGACTTTGCTGAAACTTGACTTGACATCAAACAGAGAATAGTAAATGATTTGCCAAATATGGCAACGTTTGATGCACACACAAATAGGTTGCCATAACACGTTTTTGAAAATGCCACGGATCTTACAAAATAACGTTTGGTTGTACTTTAGTTTTCTTGCATGGGCTAGTAAACAATATGAAAAGTAAAATTAAGCACTTTGCAATTCAGTGTGTGCCAAATGTGGGACTTATACGTATTAAACGCACGTAGTAATGTTGCCAATTTGTAGTGTGTTTAATAACTAGTGGTTAGAGAGAAACAGGATGCAAATGTGTAGCAGCCTATCTTGATCCTGATTTTCTTACAATATAAATTGTAATCAATGTTAATATGAGCATCGGTTTTTGTACATTTTGATGGAACCTCTTCCTGGTTCGTAAGCAAAACTAATTTTCAGCAAAAAATACAACTGGTTTTTTGTTTCAGACAAAGAGTTGCATGCTCCATAATTCTCAGTGTTTTAAAGTATTTTTTTTCTTCATATAATACCCACGTGCACAACACCTTTCAACAATGTATAGTCGATCACTCGTTTTTGTTTAACTGAGCCAATTTATATAACATTGTATGATATGATATACTACGACTATGGTGTAACAGGTTCGGACACTCGCCCGGGCGTGCCAGTTGAAACAAACAATTGAGAACTTTTCTTAAATCCTCCACACTTCTTGTCCACCCCAGTAGTCGAGTATACATCGGTCGCACCAGAGTTGATTGGAGGATCGAGTGCGGCGAGGTAAAGCTTGGGCACTCACACCTCGTGTGGTGTGTAAACTTCGCCACTCAGGGAGAAATAAGACGGTCAAACGTGGTGCTGGCCACCCATCGCCTCTGCGCGTCGTACCGGCCTTCGTAGATGCTCGCTGACAGCACCTGCTCCCACAGTATGTTAAGGCTACACGGGGGGGGGGGGGGGGGGGGGATCTGTGTGGTTTGTACTTCTAACCTCCTGTTCCCAAGACGGCTGGCCACCGTGGAAGAGTGGGCCAGAATATCTGGAGCTACTTTTAGTGGACCAAGAAATTTCAGGGCTGCACCTTTATATTTTAACTTTACCCCGTGATGTAGTGTCAGTGCAACAAGCTACTGGGCTACATGCATACACTTTGTTTAAAAGGGTAGTCCATCGACTGAAAGAAAACAATTAAAGCATGTGTACAGCATCGTCCGTAAACTTGTCATGTTGTTTTCCACAGGGTTGAAGTATGCCTAGTAAAACCATTCCAGAAAGTAGTATGAACATTTGAGGGATTTGGCAGTTACACATTCATCCCAACTTCAAAACACTGTACTTTATACATTAATAAATACGTACTTATTTTTGCATACTGTATCGAGAGAAAGATGGGGGGGGGGGGGAGTGGTGCTGCAGTGGTTATCACACTGCAATGAAGCAGGTCACCTGAGTTGGATTCCCAGCCATGGCTATGGTCTGGCAGGTGTTCTATCTGATCATCTCCGGTGCCTGCCCCCTTCACCAAACCCTCCTGACCGGCATCGTCAGTTGACTTCCCCTCTTGACCGACATGACATGGATAGGTCCTTATGCAGTGGTGGATTAACAGAAGTATTGTTGTTATCTTATTATATACAATACTAAGTTTAGGTTACTTGCATTCAGAGAGCCAACCCAGTTCTGTAGTAGATTTTATTCGTGGGCTGCCTCTATGTCAAAGCTTTACCAACAAGTTAATTTAACACAATGCCCTTGAAATTATATTTGCTTAATTTTAGCAAAGTACTGTGATTTTTTTAATTGTTGCCATGTTATTCAAGAAAAAATATTTGCTGCCAGCTATGTTGTGCACTACAATTTTCTACATGTTAACCTGGTTATTTTGTTTTATATTCGCCAGTAACTGTGTAGTTCGCAACTTGATTGACTTGTAAGAGTGCAAATCTGTCATTCTGCTTCAGGGTGTGAAACCAAAAGTGTACTTGTTGAGATCAGTTACCAAAACCACAGTTCTACAGGATCATAACTTGGGTCAAACAAATTCCGGGATTCAATGTGTTTCGTTATCAATCCGGTTTATAAATGTGTATATGGAAGAGCGTTTACAATTAAACGTTTTACGTGTTTTATAGATAATTTAACTCGTGTAGGTCAGGTGTGAAAAAAATACGTATAAAGTAGTATTCTTTAAAAAAAATCGTAAAATATGAAAAAATAAAATTGGTTAAGGCTATTGCGTGCTATACCAATGATTGGTAGATGTTAACAATAACCATGACAGCAGAGGATACTGGCCTCAATACGCTGCAGTAAATTGAAACCGAACTTTGGAAACCATCCGAAAAAAAGATTGTACATCCGTTTTTGGATTATTATTTTTTGCAAAAGCAGAAGCACTAATGGTTGTTAAATGGAATAGTAAATTGGAAACGGATATTAATTCTAGATTTGAAGCTTTCGTGACTGCAATGATTCATATTCTTAGGTTTTTTCGGTAAAGTCACGTAGGTAAAAAATTAAAATGAATAAAAGTAAAATAAAAAATAAATAAAAATCACGACGTTTCGGAGGCAACACAAGCTTCCGTCTTCAGGTGCAACCGTCACAGCACGATATTTTACTTTTATCAATTTAATTTTTTACCTACGTGACTTTACCGAAAAAACCTAAGAAAACGGATATGAAGTTGAGTCCATTGTAACTTCTAAAACTGAAATATGTAGACGGTACAGTCGTACTAAATAATTCTCAAAGGTGTAATTATATGAATATAAGCTCCTGTTGGTTACGGGTCATTTAGACCTGTTGGAGCCTTTTGTCTCGTCCAAATTAATATAAAGATTCATAAATCATGTCATCCACATGGCATTACATGTCCCTCCAATATAAATGTACTTTTAATGGTTGGGTGAGTTGGAATACTGTAATGCAGTACAATAACATTGTAACTATTCACATGTTTCCCATGTATTCAATATGTTTATCACTTCTGAATTACCTGGTTACCGAAATCTTTAAAGGTTTTACTGTTATTTAACGGGGAATCGATGCAATATTTACTGTCGTGTGATTCAAGCAAATAAACATTCTGATAAAGTTATTTTAATGAATTATCGAGTGTTTATTAATAGCATTACCACATTGAGGACTCTGATTACTGTACAGTAAATGGCAAACTTGGGGCCCAAGTACAATTGTAAGCATGCAATGTGTGATGTCATTATAATTATCGTGTTATAACTGACCCCATGTTTTGTTTAGACTCAAGGCCTCAAACCACTTATTTTAGGGCAAGTTTTTTAAATGATTGC